TCATGAAACAAATGCACATACATATTTGTGACATGATGTACCTTGTGTGTGTGAAGTTTGAACTCGATCAATCCAAGCATGTCTCAGATACGGATCCAGAACTGAATTCTTTAAAACAAAATGGCCGCCAGTCGGCCATTTCGAACCCGATCCAAAAAAAAAAATGACGTGCATCAAGGTCCTATTATGTTTAATGTATGTTCCAAATTTGAACAAAATCCGTCCATGCATAACTGAGATCCGGGTCCGGAATGGTGAAAATGTGCGATTTTGATGCATTTTCGGCCTTAAAATGGCCGCTATTCGGCTATCGTTAATCGGATCATGAAAAAAATGCATGTGCATATGTCCCATATAATGTGTGATGTATGAGTGAAGTTTAAACTTAATCGGTCCATGCATGTTCGAGATACAGGTGATCACGGACGGACGCACGGACGGACGGACGCACACAGGGCAAAACATAAGTCCCCGTTTTCGGACTGCGTTCGAACAGGGACTAAAAACACAACAATAAAAACAATTCTGTAATAAATTACTTACTTATTTATCTCTGTTTTCAAAGAATCTAAATTAGTTTGACATCTGTCTATAATTCTTCTTGTAATATTAACACTGAGTGAATCGATGCACACATTATCTGAAGTTAAATAATATTAAACACAAACAGGTGCTCTATGTCAAATATCCAACAATCACTTTTTTATGTATAGAATACATCACACTAAAATGAATTCTTACACGAATTCCATGATAAAATGAATTCTTACACGAATTCCATGATAAAATGAATTCTTACACGAATTCCATGATAAAATGAATTCTTACACAAATTCCATGATAAAATGAATTTGGCCAATATCTGCTTCATGGTAGGACAGTTTCAAACACCAGGAAGGTTCTAGGGGCATTTACTTCTGAATTTTGACATTAAAATAATGCATGCAATGATTTTGTGTGGTTCCTACTAGAGTATGAGAGAGAGAACATATTCCTTGCATACATGTAGGTACAACAACTTTTGTACTCACCTATGTTGTGCGCTTCATCAAAAATTATTACACATTTTTTCGAAAATTCTTTTGATACAATGTCAGCAATCTTTGGATCAAGTAAATAATGATAACTGTAGACAATCACGTTGGCATGTAATAACTGTCAAACCAAAGAAGAAATAATTATTTGTTAAATAAAGTACTAGTTTCTCATCATACTTCTGGATGATACCCTTGTATAATATGAGGTTATTATGAGGATACCTCAAAGTATGCACGAGGACAGTACAGAGGGAGTATCAACCCACGCCCAGCAGAGTTCGATGCGAAGGCGTACTGTCTGAGTGCATACTTTGAAGTATCCTCGTAATAACCTTATTATTATATATCTTTTCCTTCCAAGGATACATCATGGGAATGCCGAAATCCAAAAAGTTTAAAACAGAATCAGCGAACTTTTTTGCATGTAGTCCGGTCAAACCACGGTGGCAGCCATGTTTGTTTTTATTATTAGAGGACGTTTACGTGCATAATCTTTCATATTTGGAATTTGCATTTTCCTTATATGGTAGGATGAAAATACGGACACGCTGTAACTTGTAAGGGGGATAATCAAATATCACACGTGAATTGAAGAAGTCACTCAAATTGTGATATGATCACAAAATGACCTTTCTAGAAATCCTAATGCAAATTAGTGAGTCTTTGAAAGAATTGGTTCGTGTTTCTGGTAGTGTCTTTGTGTACATAGTATGTAATACACAAGTTCTACATTTCTGAATCTGGCAATAATTAATGTTTACACAATAAAATGTTTCCAAATACCACTGCACTCTGTGACACTATTGGTTACAACTACATTTATACATGTACAAGAGACACATGTGTTAAACCATAATAATACTCACAGAATATCTGGCCAGATAGTATGGACACCACTTATGTTCTCTACCATAGTCTTTCATATCATCAATGCTGTAAATTCCAGATGGTATTGGTACCTCTCTACCATGACTGTCAAACTCCTATAATGTATACAATAAATACCAAGAACACAATGACAGCCACACTTGTCTTAAACATAACAAAAGCATATGCAGTTTCTGCCATGCAGCTGTTGATATCGACCACAGGTATTATTATTATTATTATTATTGTT